ATAGGCACAAAGTGGAAAAATAGAAATGTTCTGAAAGTTAATCCTTTCATTCAGAGCAGGGGAGGACCTGTCTATAATAAGGTTCCATAAACACCTTAAACAAAAGGTCAAATAGATAATCTGCTTCCACTATAATAGATTACAGCAGGTCCAGAGTCTGTGTGTACAACACAGAATGAGAGTTGGAGGGAGAATGATTCAGGTTGGACTCTAAGGGTGTATTTGATGAGCAACAGGTTTTCTTTACTCCATTGGGATTCAGAAATAATTTAACAAGCTTTTTTTTTTTGCAATTGTTATTTTAGTAAAGTATAGTACAGCTTAATGAGGAGGCCAAAATCTTTAATGGTTTCATCTATTAATATAAAATCTGTATATCACAGTGGACCATAGACACGCTAGCAGCTCTGTAGCACAGTAGAGCCTTGAGCTGAAACTGCAATCCATAATAGTTAGAGGAATATATATAATAGAATTATGGACTGGGGACATTTTCCAAATTGAGCCCCTCATCCACGCCGACTTCAGCACACCCACTACTCACTAACCCTGAGCTCTAATGCCAACACAGGCAATTTCAAGTTTGCTCTTGGCAATTAATCTCTAGCAGGTTGCAACAAAAGAGCCGTATTAGGGTAGTGCAGCAGTGTTTGTTTTTTTATCTGGCGAAGTGAACGTGCTAACATTACTGAAAGGTTAAGATAGCTAAAGTTTTATTTGCTGGTCTGCTCAGGTCCTCACCTTTGCCTTTGCATGGGGCCTTTTGACCTGACAGTGGGTCTAAGCTGTTGAGATATTTCAGTCTAAGCCAAAGTAGTAGACTGAGTGATGATGATCATTGTCAATCAACAGAGCAGTTAGCATGGCTAAAAAACACCTTTTGATGCTATTCTTCAACAATCGAATGTCTACAGATCTGATGTTGTGCGATTGCAAACAAGTGCCATAATATGAAAAATATTCAGGGCCTTTCTGGACATTCTTTCCAGTTTGATCCCTGCTCCGCCTCCACAAGCCAACACTCACACTGGCAATAAAGGTTTACAGCTTCTAGATTAAAAAGTTCTGAACTACAGTAGGCATTTTAACTTATAAATGTACCACTATTAAACATAGTTTCCTTCTTGTTATAATCTCTTCATACCATACACGTTTGACTTATTTCTGCTCAATTTGTTTACACAGAATACTTTTCAGACTTCTAAAACTGAATCAATGCTCAGTGCTTGTTCATTCTCACTCATCCATCACTTGTTGTCTATTACTCTACAGCACAGAGGTCATAATATATGGACAGTGAAGGGATCAGTACAGATAGATCAGGATATCAGTAATAACAAACACTCAGGCCAAATCTTCTGTCAGCTAACTTGGATTGTGTTCCACGTGATTATCCTGCAGCTATACTGAATTCTTATAGTTGCAATGCTGACATTAACCACAAGATGGCAGCAGACCCATAGTTTAGCACCTGTGCTCACACACCCCTTGGCCACCAACGCAGGTCTTTTGACTTATTTTGCTTGATTAGAACTTTTCTCAGGACTGTGTGGGCATACACATAATACATGATAATAAAAGCAATCAAAGGTGTGGTTGACTGACATTCCCCCATACTCTCCTGGTAGTGAATCATTTTTGGGGGGCATTTTATAGTGACAGTAATTGAGGAATGGTGCTTTAACCCCTTTAAGGGTCCAGTATTTAACATTTAGGGGGCTATAGTTGCAGAAATGGAATATAATATTCATAAGTTTTCATTAGTTTATAATCACCTGAATATAAAATTGTTACGTTTTTGTTACCTTGAACCAATTTTATCTACAGGGATGCCTTTCATGAAGCCCGCCATGTAGGACCGCCATGTTAATACAGTAGCCCAGAATGGACAAATGAAACACTGTAGGTAGGGTAAGTTTCATGACCACTGTAGTTTCTCCTACACACTTCACAGCCTGTTCCCATTCCCAGGTCATGAAATACGGACGCAGGCTGTGTTCAGTTATAATTGCAATCTGCATCTTGACTGTTAGATGCCACCAAATCTTACAAACTGGTCCTTTAAGGCCACCATGGACAGATGTAAGCATAAACAATCAGTGTGAATATTTAAAATATAGCAGACATAATACACAATATTTAATCAGATCTTCTAAAACCTTTGTTGCCCTAAAGAAAAACCTGTTCTACCCTGAACATCACAATATAAAACATAGTGCCACAACTATCTAACAACTAACAACTACTGTCTCTGTGTTTTGAATGGGATGTACAGTATCAGCTTTAGGTTTTAGGCCGTGGGTGTTTGCAAAATCCTAAAACGTGACAGAACTTAAATAGATGTAAATACAGTACCCGTGATGGTTGGCAGAGGGTGTAATCGTCGTTAGCTCTGCCCCTGGGTCTGTCCAGGTCATTAGCCAATTAAAACCAGCTGATGTTCATGGCCTGAGGCTTGGAGCGTGCTCTGTTGATGAAACCACCTTTGGGCTCACAGGTGTCCTCAGATCAAAAGGTTGATTTATATAAATGGTTTTACAGGATCAATGGAAGTACTCATCATCATCATCATCATCACCAGTTTCGTTACAGTAAATTACCTCAAAAGTGGAGGAACTGTCACATGATCTCAGAATCAGAATGGCATTGTATATGCTCCTTTATTAACCCCTACATTTTAATAAATATAATTACATTCTATATGTAAAAGGTGTACAGTACAGTCTATTTCTGTTGCTGATCCATTTCAGGCCGTATATAAATAGGATTATAGTACTGTGCAGAACTGTCAGTGGAAAAATAGATTTGTCTGTCTTGATTGGCTTGTGTGTCTGTGTCCTGTACTGTGTACTGTTTACTATCAGTGTGGGCTGAATCTGCAGTAAGTAACTTTATTTTGTGCATAAAAGCAACATATGAAAGAATTCTGATTAGAAAAACAAAGCTACACGTGAAGAAGGCTTTGGATGTTATTACATGATATATTGTGCCAGCAGTAATCTCAGGTGACCGGGGTTAATCCAGGAAATGAGAGTTCACTAGTTCCCAGCAAAGAAACAGAGAGAGAGAGAGAGAGAGAGAGAGAGAGAGAGAGAGAGAGAGAGAGAGAGAGAGAGAGAGAGACCATGCATGTAGGTGCATGACTGCATTCATTCATGTAAAGTTATGATTCTCACTTCTCCTTTTGTCATTAACTTTTGGAGAGGTGGACAATTTGATATTGTCTCCCTTACATAGTACAGTGTATATAAGCCCTTATCTAACTGTATTATCAGTGATGATGTTATTATGAGCGGATCATCCCATTATTTGTGAATGTTGGACGTGCTTACAGGGTACTTCTTAAAGGATTACACACTGATTGCTCAACCAAAAGAAGACAAAATAACTAGCTAGTCGATTTATGTTTATTCTCTGAACTGGTTCAGTGTTACATTAGCAGTCACATGGTATGAAAATGCAGCAATACATCATTACTAATATCAATATTTAGACAAAATTGAAATAAGGAAAGTCAACTCTCACACATCATGTCTTTTTGTTTATTTCTACAGTATTTATTTATTGTGGCACTGTGTAAAAAATAGGTCGTCCTGTTGGATGTGAGAAACCTTGTGCATGTAGTGAACTAACAAATGTTACAGTTTAACATGTAATACAACATTCAAGAACTTTTTCAGGTCAATGACCTTCACAATAGATGCACATTAGACCACAGACCCCCAATTTAAGAGGATTTTGTAATTTCGTCTGTAATTTTTGTAATTTTTTTATTGTTTGGTTTCAAGATTATATAGTCTTCAAAGTTAATCAATGATCAAACTGGGATCACTATAAGTTACAACCAACCCTTTTTGTTCCCTTGCTGTTCAAACTTCCAAAAAATTTACTAAAAGTTAACTTTAACTTTTGATGGGGACCACCTACAACCGAGTCCTGTTGGTCCCTGGACCCCAGTTTGAAGACCACTGTGGTGGTGGACACACCAAAGTATCCAATTGGTGGAGGAGATTCATATTTCACTCAGTGTATGTATAGCTCAGTGTATACCTTCATCAAAAATGTGGGTGTTTAAATTCAAAGCTCCTTAAGACAACATTTAATGGGAATATTTGGAATATAGCATGACTGTAATTCATCATCACTGATTGAAAAGCTTCAGGAAAACTATAAAAATGTAGAAAAAATGTAGAAAATGTAGGTTCATTTTTTAAATTTTATTTTATGTTTGCTTTAGCTTGTTTTTTTGCTGATCCTACGCAGTTTAGTTTCACAGGCGGATTTGTGCCATTTGGCACATAAACTTTTAACTGATTGAAACAGTTTTTGTTGGCAAAAAATGACAATAAAAAATAACCTGGAAAATCAAACAATGAAAATCTCTTTCTTGGTTTGACCAAAACTGTCATATGTAGTTGAGTTAGTATTGTTATTTTGGCATCTTAATCCTAATGTAATACTTTCTTTTAGCTGTAAATATAACATACATCCAATGGCACAACAGAGCTTTGTTGGGCTCTAATTATAACTTTTTCTCCTAATAGATGTTGTTGGCTAAAAGAACATAAACCCTCAATTTACAGAAAACAGTTTCTTAAGATATTTAGTTTTCTATCCCATATTTATTGTCTAAGATCCTTTAAGTGAGTAAAGATTTCAGAAGCAACAGTGGTAGACTAAGACTCAAATTCAGACAAAACATAAATGGCCATGTCTTTTGTGTAACAGCTATTTATTTTAATTATTAATACTATTATTAGTACCCAGTTGAGTAAACTCAAACTTGTGCACCTGTGTCTGCTCAGACATGCATGTGCCTGTTTTAATGTGCTTCCAGTCAGTTACATAAAGGTCTAATTGTTTTTATAGTAACTCTTGGGCAGGTTTAAACGTAGAAGCCAGCTTACGGTAAGGATTTCAACCCAACAGGATTACCTCTAGATTTAAGCACCTTATTTAGTTCCAAGCAATGAAAATCAGCCATAAGCTTGTCTGTGGAGTGTGTATATAAAGGCTGCCTCAGATACAAAACCCAATCTGGTGGATAACCACGGCAGAAGTAGAATTTAAACCACTGTTGCTTCTTTGACCCAAAACAAGTAAGACTCTGCTCATTTTAAGATGATTCTCCTCTAGTTACTTGTTCTGTGATTTCTTTACGTTTTATCAGAAGTAATCAGTAGAAAGAAATTGAGAATATGTTTTATGATGAATGCGAATTTTCTGTCAGCTGTAACTGTTTAAATTAGAGACTTCATAATTGCTGTTCTGTATTATGTGGTGTTTTTTGTATAGCCATATTTACTCAGAATGTGTATTTTTGACTGTGTTATGTGGCTCAAGTATAGGTACAATGTATTGTTTTTGTATTTATAGTATAATAGTATTCAAGAAATCAGGTGATGTGGGGCTATACTGTCCTCAGACCCAAACATGCACAGTTTTGTATCACTTATATATATTATATTGTTATATATATATTCAAACTTGTTTTCAGTAACCAGGTAGAAATAATCACACAGCCGGTTTCTGGTCCTAATGCTCTGATATGTGTGTTCATTACAGAATGGGATCCTCTAAGCTGGCCCTGATGCTGGTCTTGCTGTCCTGCGTGGAGCGCTGTCTGTCTGCCTCCTGCGTGGTCGACAGCTTCACAGTCAAAGAGGACTTTGACCCCAAGAGGGTGAGCGGATTTAAAAACACAAGCAGAAGTATTGACAAAAAGTAGGTAAAAAAAAGTAAGTTCAATAATTTGGGACTTTCTTCCTTCTAATCACAGTATGCAGGAAAGTGGTACGCACTGCAGAAGAAAGATCCAGAGGGCCTGTTCCTGCAGGACAACATCTCAGCTGAGTACACCATTGATGATGACGGTTCCATGACCGCCTCCTCCAAAGGACGTGTCACTCTATTCGGGTCAGTCAGAGGGGTGAACGAGTGACTTTTTGATGATGATAGACTATTTACCTGCCTCATCTCACTCATTATCTACAGATAAAGTTATTATAATTCACTTTAACACTTTAACAAAAGCGAAACCAGCTGGCCTCACATCTCTTTAAACCTCTCCGGATTAAGGCAAAGGGTCAGTTTGGTCAGAAAGGACCTCCTTCACTCTCTAAGATCTGGGACGATAAGGGCAGCTCAAATATGCTCAGGTTCAGGTACAGATTTCTCGAGGCACATTCTGAACAGCATTAGCTTGAAGAGGGGTTTTCCCTGGATTATGTAGGATTAGGAAGAAATGCAGGTTGTAGAGGTTGGATTTTTACACAGGAATGTGGGCTTTAATGCACTTTTACAAACCAACTTCAGCTGATTTAAGTGCTCATGACATGGGCTAAAAGCAACCAGGCTAATTAAGTTAAAGGTTCCTGTAAATACAAGAAAAAGACAATGGTATTAACACTCACTTCACTTTGATGTTAACATGTGTGTTTGTATCGTCATTTTGCAGCTTCTGGGTTGTGTGTGCTGACATGGCTGCCCAGTACTCGGTCCCCGACCCCACCACCCCCGGCAAGATGTTCATGAACTACCAGGGACTTGCCAGCTACCTGTCCAGTGGAGGTCAGCCATGCACCCATATCACCCTCACATCCTTATATCGCCTCCTTCCTCTTCGCGCTCACTAACCTCTCCCTTTCTGTCTAACCAGGTGACAACTACTGGGTGATTGACACCGACTACGACAACTATGCCATCACCTACGCCTGCCGCACCCTGAAGGAGGATGGCAGCTGCGAGGACGGCTACGCCCTTGTCTTCTCGAGGAACCCCCGGGGCCTGCCTCCTGCCATCCAGCGCGTCGTCCGTCAGAAACAGGAAGACATCTGCATGGCTGGACAGTTTCAGCCTGTCCTGCAGTCCGGAGCCTGCTAAAGAGAAAAGAGAGCAGGAGAGCTGAGAAAGTCAGCTAGTTGTGGTCTTTGAAGCTTGAAAAGCAAGAAGAGTGAGAATGAGAGATGCATGTGATGGAAGGAATGTATGTTGTGTATGTGAGAGTGATAATGTGCAGTGAATGAACAGATGCATAAAGTTTTACAATGAGAAGAGGAAAAACATTAGAAAAAATGAAGTGAAGACAGTGAAAATCCCCTTCCTTTCATCCTCCATAACTGTGTTCATCCATTGTTTTTCCAAGGAAATGTTACTGTTGCCGTGGTGTTCTGAGGGAATGTGAAAGCTAAAATTAAAAAAATATTTTTCTAACTGGAATTTTGTCCTTTTTATGCTGTAAAAAAAATTATAGCTTGCACTTCCACTTTGCAAACATGCATATGTGTATGTATACAAATCCCTAAGCAATGAGACATAAAGCTGAGGCATAAAAACACAAAAAGCAGTTCAGGCTTGAAAACAAGTTGCACTTTGGCCTTGTAAGTGGCTTTGATTCCTCCTGAGCTCGAGAGAATGCAGCCAGACCCAACACAATACACACTGAGCAGTAATGGGCTTACTGGTGCTCTGGTGTTCAGAGACCTTAGTCCTACTAAACTAACCCAACTCTTAGGCCACTTAGCGTGCACCAGGGGTCAAAGATTGTATCAAGAGCTTTCCGAAGCCACGTCTTGCTTGGATTGCAAAGATGACAGTAGTGCTGTAGGATCACATGTTAGAAAAGGTTCTTCATCTTTTAACATAAGATAAGATAAGATAGACTTTATTGATCCCACACTGGGCTGCAGCTCAGCTCAACACAGCATAAAAAAAAGTACACATTAAATAATAAAATAAAATAAAAAAAGACAAGCTATAATAAAAATAGAAAAACTCAAAAACTAGAGTTGTGTGTACACTATACACAGCTTTTATACAGATGTGATTGATAGAGAACATTGCACAGGTTACAGCAAGAGGTAGCGGCATGGTGTAAAAATAAATAATACTAATACCAATAATAATGTGCATGTAGGAAATTATATATGTATGTGAAACTATATATAATAGTACTAAAAGTGTGAATAGTGTATCAAATAATGCAATCATGTGGTTAGAGTTGTAGAGTCTGACAGCAGTAGCGCTCCTTCTTCCTGCTCAGAGCTGCTCAGAGACCCCACAGTCTCATGCAGGGGGTCAGAGGTGTTGTTCAGTCATTTTCTGTCCCTCTTTGTGCTTCCAGCTCCCTAACAGACTACTGCATTGAGGATAACAGATGCCACCACGGTTTCGTCAGGCTACTTCACTAAAAAGGGGAAATGTTGTTGACTTAGGGAAAGAGAGGGAGAAGCAAGATGACTGATAGCGAGAGACTGAGAGAGGTGCATGAAGACAGATTGAGGCTGTTTGTTTCTATAGCAGGTGTGTAATCCTTTTCATGTTATGCAACAAGCTGAAAGGCAATTTGCTAAAGCCAATAATGCTAGAGCATTACTGTAAATCAATATAGTACATTTGATGTTCTGGCTTGCTTCATGGAGGACAGTCAAAATAGTATAATTTACAAAGGCTGTGTCACTCTAACAGACATTTACCTGTTTTGCTTCATGAGGCGCACACAAGAACGCTTCAACACAAAACTCACAACCCAAAGATCAAAGGGAGAAAAAATCAGCAATGAAGGTCCATTGTGTAACATTTAGGAGGATCTATTGGCAGAAATGGAATATAATGTTCATAGGTATGTTTTCATTATCGTATAATCACCTGAACATAAGAATCACTGTGTTTTTGTTACCCTAGAATGAGTTTATTATCTACAGAAGGAGTAGGTCGTCTTCTACGGACACAAACCAAACACTGGCTCTGAAAATGGGACTTTTTGCATTTTTTGTTAGTTTTGTGGCCACCCGTAGTTTCTCCTACAAGCTTGGAACAGGAGGGTGAGGTGTAGGGTTTGTAATCTGCAACTGCTCCTCTAGATGACACTCAATTCTACACAGTGCTCCTTTCATTAAACTCAAAATAATCTTAATGCTGCTTTAAAAATTAGCCTTGTTTTGTATTAATTATATTATTATAAAGCACAAAAGTAATGCAAACAAATTAATTCACTCTTTGCAGCATTTATTAACTTACTTTTGAGATGTAAAATAACATTAACATCTAAATCTGTCAGCCCCATATAGAAAACATTACAAGTACAAAGTGGACATTTCTCAACCTTACTTCAGTATATAACACAGAATTATGCTAGACTGATTGATTTGTCCTTTTGTGTGCACCTTTTACCCAACAGTACACCATGAAAATGATCATAGCACCTGATATGCAGCAACCGAAGTACTGGTTTAGTTAAGTACAGAGTTGTTTGTAAAGTTTAATCTCCTCTTCTATGTGTTGCAGTTTATATAAACCTTATATCATGGGTTTTACTCAGTTTTATTTGGAGCCTTATTATTTGCAGCTTTAAAAATGGGAAAGTGTGACAGGGGATTGTGGGTAATCTCTGTGTGTTTGACACTGATTGGCGGGACAGTGTGTATAGGGCACGAGGCCAAAGCTTTAGTCTGCCTGCAAACTAGTTTAAATCTAAAGGGATCAGCTGTTTGACCTCACTAGAAATGATAATCTGCAAGATACAATTAAAAACAGCTAAACCTGAACACTGTTTTATTCTTCTGTCATGACTTAGTTTGTGTAACTGATCCTAGGGGATCCTAGGATTTAGGCCGAGATGAACAGTGAAGGAAACTGACATTACACAAGCATTATTTTGGATCAAAAGAAAAGACAACAAATAGGCTACAAGCCTGAGGTAAGAATATAAGTGGATTTATCTGCTCAAGTCTGGGGAGGCTCTAACTCAAATATCCCATTTCTGGAGGTTATGCTCTTTTCTACTTCAGACTAACAAAACTAGGCTAAAGTGGCAGAAATCAACACATTACTCATATTTGTTAACGCTAATCCGGTGTTATTCTGTATTTTCTATCTTCTATCATGAAGTAGCTTTGCTCACAGTCACATTTTTGACATTTGAAAGTTTTTACAGACCCAGCAGACTCGAAGCATAATGGACTTTACAGTTAAAACTCTCTTTGTAAATGTCTACAGCTAATACCTTAACTGAATAAATTGTATATTAATTGCTATAATTTGATCTGTCCACTAGAGTGCAGTCAAACTGCATTGAACATTAAGCTTGAAGCTCTTTTGGACTCCAGTCAGTCATAATACATTTGTCATAGTCACGGTTTGTAGTAATAGTGAGTCAGTTGATGTTGATAAATGTACTTATTTGACAAACTTGCTTTAATTCCACTTAATTGATCCGTGACAACTGATCACCCCAGGAACAACAAACAATGAGCCCTTAATCTTTTTCTACTTAATAATGTGCTCAACATTTTTAATATATCTCCAATCTGTTGGCCACGGAAGCTTTTAATTTGATCTAATGTATGTTATGACCGTCACACTGAGGTATTAAAAGTAATGCCATGTTTTATTCTATTAGTGCACTATAAGCTGCTGCTGCCCACAGATGGAAGATGTGGTCACAGAATCGAAAGCAAGATGGCAAAAGGGTTTCCAGCCTCTGTAGTTTAACACGGCTGCAGCTGAAACGTCTGTCTCCTGGACATTGGGATGACAAATTAGTATAAGTATATAAACACAAGTATTATGAGGCTAGTATAAGTATAAAACCATCCTAATGGTTTCTTGGTTAACTGTTTTGAAGTATTCTTCTCACTGTGTCATTAAAGCCTCAGTATTTCTGATTGACATTAAGGGATTCATGTTAGGTTACATTCTTTACATTTATCATGTAGATGGTGTGAGATGCCAGTGCTCCACTCATTGGGTGTGTTCCAGTGCTGTTTACAGATTTGTGTTAGAGCTATCCCTCAGCATGTCATTAACAGAATAAACCGATGGAGGGACGCAGGGTGGAGGACAAGATAATTGTTGCTATTGTGCTTGTGACTATGGGCTCAGGGTGGGGATGAGATTTGATCTGACTGAGGAGATTTTTGTTGTACCTTTAAACTGTGGGCCCGTTCTTTTTCACATAACCCAGACAGTCAGGAGAATATGACTCTATATTACAATCTGATGTAAAACTTTTCTTTAAAAAAGGACAGGTGGCTATTTTTTTCAAATAACTGAAGCCAAAGATCTCCCTGCCCAATTTTACTTTAGATGGGATGTGATTTTCTAAACAAAGCCTGAAGGTGGGCTTTGTTTTTTAAACAGCACCAGACCGCTTAATCCAATGATCTGTCTGTCTCCTTCTCATCTCTGTTGTCATTCTCTCTCTGGGTTTCTGTATGAGGAGAAAACAGAGGAAAAAAAGAAAGCGACTGCCTGTCAACGCTACCAGCCATCATTTAGAAGATACTAGAAAACATGAACATGCTTCTGCTTGTGGGTCAGGCTCCGTTAATCTGCTCTATAGGGGAAGCACCGCAAAGCAAAACTGAACACATCAACAGCATATTATGTACTGTAGTCCACTGTGTCACACACACACACACACACACACACACACTGACCGTGCACTGTAAATAAAACAGTTTTATCTTAGGTGCTTTACTTTGCTAATTACTTGTAACTGTAATTCTGTTTTTGTAAAAGTATATGTTAATTCAGATCAATTACACAAAAAAATTACATTTTCCAATTAATTTCTAGCTGACCCAAGTCAGCTGAACTCTGTGGCATTCTCAAGGTCTAAAATAGACTCCTTTACATTACAGGTGTCAGTTGCTTGGAGGGGTAGATGTACGAGGCATTAAAATAATCACAGCGGGTTAAATTACCGTTATTATGATCAGACGGCACCAGTCTGAGCTATTTCTCAGCGTTTCTGTCTCTCTGTTTGCTCAAATGTCTACCTTTTGAAATGCTCACTAACTTTGTTGACCATCCGTCTGTCTGTCTGTGCCCCTGCTGACTCATCTGATTGTCTATCTCTGGTGTTATGACCCTGAGAGCTGTCAGACTGGGAGTCTGCCGGGGGTCTTGACAAATCTGTCTAACTGCTCTGTAAACAGACAATTCCCTTATTACAGTTTTGAGGGAGAGACAACAAGGCGCTCATAGGGACAACCTGAGCCGGCCTCAATTGTGTTTCAGGGTTGACATTTAGTCCCTCCACACAGACTAAGGCACTATTTTCTATAAAACAACTCTCTAAATTAAATGAATTCTAAAAACCCAGTTTGACTTTGTATTGTGGAGTTTTAAAAGCTTAAAGACTCTCATGCGGTGTTGTGTACGTTTGTCACGTGATCTCAGGTAGCCTGTTGATACCTTGCTGTGTGTAC